CACCATAAACATTAGATCCCGAAGAAGTAATGTGCGCTGACAAAAAGCTTATAAAATTACGTCTTGTGTGGCTGGGAGAGAGTGCGTTTGCCATGACTGCGGAAAATTACGTTTAAATCGCCGAGGTGCTAAGCATCGATATCAGATTTTCATTAAGCCGCGCCGAGACGAATAACACCTCCGTGAGTCTTTTGGTGATTGTTGAAAACCATAAGGTGTATGACTATTTAATATCTCTGGGGCAATTCAAACCAAATTGCAATTGATTTTATGCTTGAACTTGAGATGTGATGAACACTTTATCCGTTTTAAAGTTCAATAAAAGAACTAGTTTTCCTAATCTTTCAGAAGTAACTACATTTGGCCAGACTTGCAGTTTAACAGGCAGGACTTTTCGGCTTAGTTCGAAGTTAGGGACCAGGAGCCCAGTTTAAAAAAATAGGTCGGGGGAAGGTCTAGCAGCGTAAAATGGAAATGGTTCTTCCAAAATTTACTCCAAATGGTTTTCTCTCATATTTGGTTCACTTTTTCGCCTAATTGGTGGGCTAAAGGTCCCAAATTAAAAAGGAAATTGCACATCAGTTAGCGGCCCGAGCCTAAATTCATTTCCAATCCTTTTGCGGCCTGGCGTAAAGTTGAGCCAATTTTACGGAACTTCCACGCTCAAACATGACCAACAGGCTGAAGCATGCCACCATATTGCCACCTCACGCATGCCCTTGGCCTAGGTCATTATAAGCCCGTGGATGCATGCTAATGCCAAGAACAATTAATATAAAACCATAATTGCTTGCTCTAAAACAAACTCTGCCATTGCATGAGATCATGCTGGGCGCTGCAATAAAATTCAGTCCAAAAGCACTGAAGTACTAGGTCGGAAAAACGGCACTGGAGTTCGTTGCTTTAACGCGCGCTCGGGTGGCCAGTGAAACGCCATTCGCTCGGGTAGATAGAGGAGGCCAACTGAATTGAATTCTCGAGATTTCGGCACCTAAGAGAACTAGAAATACCATATTCACATAGTAAGTTGATCTGTAGGTATGCAACTCACTTGTATCAAATTTTAAGGTTTACGGGTCATGAACTTTGTGTAAATAATGCCAAACAAGATCAAATTTAAGATTGGTGTTCAAAGTGACCGTAGACCTCCTCATGCAACCGCCTTGAATCTACCTACCTGTTTTGAGCAAAATATTTTTAATTTAATGACCCTGTTGACCTTAAGGAAGTCAGGTGATCAAAAACCTGCGAGATTGTTTTGATTTTTTTACGTTGAATAAGCATTAAGGACTACACTAGCAGGTACGTTCGCAAGAAAAGGGTCAGTGTAGCTCAGCGGCCTACCTGACATTTAAAAAAGTCCATAAAAACGTCTGTTGTCAGTTCGTGTTATCACGAAATTCGAAATCAGCATAAAAAACTACCCCATAACGTGAACACTCCAGTCAAAAAGCAGGCTGGTTTTGACCTTGGTATATCCTTCATGCCTGACCGTGGGTAAGTTGCTTCAAGCTTAAATTCAATTGCTTTATTGACAAAGAAATTATTCTGGAGACATATGACTTTTTTCGACCTTATGACTTTAATACGCCATTGTCGCATCACATTGAATGATTCCATAAAAATTGACTTTGCTGACAGCCACAGCCTGACTGACCCGTTATAGGTCACGACTTTATAAGGTACATCTAATTGCCGCACCCAAAATATATCATGTTCGATTACCTACAGCCTGCAAGGCCCATACCTGCAATTACCTGCAAGGCCCATACCGTCCCCATGACAGGTCAGGGGTGGCAGGTCAGAGGTGACAGGTCAGAAGTGACCTATCAGAGGTGACATATTAGAGGTGACATGTCAGAGGTGACAGGTCAGAGATGACGGGTCAGATGTGACCGGTCATAGATGGCGGATCAGGGAGATGGGCTGCTCGCTCCACGTCGGGTGATCGAGTGAACATTTTACCACCGAAGTGACTCTGGAACCACTGAGTCTGGGAATAATCAGATGTGATCCTGTCCGGCTGAAACCGCTAACTGGCGTGGCGTGGCGTGGCGCCCGTGCGTGCGTGCTCTTTCTAGATGCTCTCAGAACTTTCCCAAGACGTCGACGAACCGCTGCGTATTTACTGTAGCCACGCGGTTGTCAGCTCCTTTCTGAAGACTTGTTTCATTTGCTATCAACAGCTTCCTTTGTAATGCTTACCAGAGACCACGATCAACTCCGCATAACCAACCGGCTTCCTCTCCGCGGCTCATACTGCGCTTCCTTTCGCTTGCATTCCCTCGCGTTGTTGCGCGGACCTGTGCAAAGCTCCCTGCGTGTCATGTCATTTTTCCGTGGATCGGCCGCTTTCCCCGGCCCAGCAGCCACCGTTCAGCGCCCAATCTAGATCACAGGGGCGCGCTGACCGGCGCTGCACGGTGTGAATGGGACCGCCCACAGCAAAAGACCGCCGGTAGCGTCAAAAATCCCCCACCGGGAGGTAAAACTCTGGCCGCACCACCCGGCGAGAGGCAGTTTTTGCTGCTGCGCGTGATAAGGTGTCGCACACGTTCGAAGGTGGGAAGACGCGAGCGGTGAAACCGCTGCTGGTGTTGGCGGAGGGGTGCGAGGCTTCGGCGGATCGCGCTGGTGCCGCGTCCTGCTCACTCTCTCCTGTCGGTCGCGTGTCTCTTCAAAGCTTCTGTCGGCCCAGTGGTGGCCGTGCGTTTCACGTGCCGTAAGGATGGTGCAATTCCTGGACGGACATGCGCCGGACCCCAAAAAATGTTGCGCAGCCGGATCACTTGACATCTGGCTCCAAGGTCTTCTGGGAATTCGGATCTTTCTTGAAATTATGTCGTATGAGGCCTTTTGACATCTCTGATCGTTAAATACACCAACGATGTCATGTAGGGTTCGAGTTTTTAGCATTATTACAGACAAATATTTTGCATGTTAAATTTGCTTTCGGAAGCGATATTTCAGGATCCATCCGTAAACCTCGGAAACGCATCTTTTAGATCAGTATAAATCAGAATGAGGTTTGGCAGGACCATTTAAATTTCATATTTTCAAACTCAGTTTGAACCAGTCCCTAAAAGACGAGAACTGTTATGCCCTTCTTTGCTCACTGACATCTTGTCACCCCACTTGTAATCAAATCATAGCCCATGAGTGCATACGTGTGCACTATCAACTTTCATCATTGGATGATGCAAATCTAGTACCATTAAGTGTCCATAGATGCTTGAAGTATACTTTATAAGCATACTATGCACGTAGTAAACGCAAAACACACTTTGCCAGCGAGATATTTACGCTCATCAATCATACACCTTGGCTGCTATCTCTCAATTATTTTCCTCTTCACCTTACTGAGATAGCTTGAATACAATTATGATGACAAAGAAGTTAACTTTCCAATCATAACTAATGTGCCTATACTTTTTCAACTCATACGAGGCGGCTGCATAAGATATTTTGAAACGCAATTTAAGATTGCTCACTGTTAAAACTGCAGAGTAAAACTGCATTAGCTCGTCTACCACAGCGATCTGGAAAATGTAACAAGTTTATTATGTAAGATGTTACATGCATTTACGAGAAACATTATTCCAGTAGATAAGACAGTAGTAATAGCCTTATTTATTGGAGAAAAACCAGGAGAATGGGGATGTGGACGCGTGGGTATTTGGGCCACATGGCGTTATGGAAACCATTCTGTATTTTTGTCATCGTTAAAAAATTGCATCCAAAGATTGCAATTCCATACAGTTATAATTCTTGTATTCATTACTCTATAAACTATTCTATTTTATGCCATATTTTTGCCATATTTTCGTTTCAATAAAGGCATGTTGCAGAAATATCAACGCATCTGTATCTCCATTCTCCTGTTCTTTCTCCGCGGAATAAGGCCATTACCACTGCTTTAAAACAGTTTGTTATTGTGAGGTGGGTATGTGTATTCTTGCGTTCTAAGGCCAACATATTTTACCAGAGGCTCTGGCTTTGAAAATTTGAGTGCTCACTACTACACTTGTCACAACATATTGCCTACCAAGCATATGTAACTTTACCAAAGGTGGTACCAAGATGTGGCAAATTTGCTTAATCCAAGACTTGCAATATCATATGATCTAGAAATGTCCTTGTATAACCTGAAACCATTTCATATTCTTGAACAGTCGCTCTTTTAAAATGTCATTGAAGAATCTTTTCAGATCTGGGATCAAACGAAATATCAAAGGGTATTCGATACCCGATGACAATGCCGTGGAAGGGTCTGGCAAAATTTGGACTTCGTTTGGCATGTCTTTCTTCGAAGAGCCTTCTGGGACCTTTGATCTCTGTGGGATCGAGTTACGTGTCTGATCCTAGGCAACCAAAGCAAGCAGATATTAACTACTCAGCCTAGCGATAATGCAGTCATGTGCTCCAAGTGCCATTCGCGTTCGTTCACCGGCGGCGTGCGTCAAAGACATTGGGTCCTCAGCGCGGCGTCTTATTGATCACATGAACCTTCCAGTTGACACTTCCATCAGTAGGGTTGGCGTTTCCACACTTTCTTGAGCAAGCAGACGCACATTCTGAACATGTTCATTCCGACCATGTTCGGGAGCCTACGCTGGAACGCAACCTTTTTAGACGATGCAACAGTCGCCAGCTTCAATCTGTTTCTCGAAACACAGAAATGCTACTGGGAAAACATGTGTGAAGCTATCTAACCACGAGGCTCACGACAGTGGAGGTGACACATGCCTCCACAGTTCCTCATACACCACGTGATGCTGTAAAAACCGTGATCGTTCGATAGAAGCTTTGAAGGTCACATCGGAGCTGTTGTGGATGGGCGTGCCATTTGGCAACGTTACAAAATGGCCGTCTGCAGATGCGTGATCACCAGCCGCCGAGGGGTGGAGGTCCAAATAAACTGCACCTCACTCCCAGCTTCACCTCGGCCGTGCGCTACGTCCCGTACCCCCCCCCCCCCCCCATGTCGGCCGCGGGGCAGCTCAGAGTCCCGCCGTGACCTCGCAGCAGGCGTTGGTCATCAGAACGCCGTCCCTGTACAGCGCGATGGCCGACCCGAGCAGCAGCGGCTCGGCGTCGCCACTGACGATGCTGTAGGCGGGCACCGTTCCCGCGTAGGTGATGCGGAAGGGCGGGTCGCCGGCGGCGCGGGGCGAGCTCAGCCAGCGGGCGGCCGCCTGGACGGTCAGCACCGGCCCCGGCGGCGTCGAGGTGGTGATGATGGCGCACGGCACGGCGAAGACACGCAGCTCCGAGCTGGCGGCGGCCGCTGCAACGGGGCAGGCGGTGAAGCTGGGAAGAAACGCTGACACGACGCTCAGGTTGGCGGAGGGGGGATGGAGGTGAGTCAGGGACCGAGGCCGAGTCACAGGAGCACGGGCCTGGTCACTGGGCCAAGATCGAGTCACAGAGATAAGGCTGAGCTGTGGTAACAGGACCGAGTCACAGAGGCAAGTCTGAGCTGTGGTGACAGGGCTGAGTCGCAGAGGCGAGGCTGAGCTGTGGTGACAGGGCTGAGCCACAGAGGCAAGGCTGAGCTGTGGTGACAAAGCTGAGTCACGGCCACAAGACCGAGTCACAGAAGCAGGGTGCACGTCAGAGACGATCGGGTGGAAACGTGGGCGGAAATCAGTGGTGCAGAGACGAAGCAAGGCCACGGCCGGACGTAATCACATGATGAAGTGAGCTGGCAGGAAAGAGGAACAGGTGCAGGGATGGGCTTCAGAGTCAAGGCACATTCACAAGAACAGTGGGCAGGTACTGGAGCTCGTTCGAGACGATGACATATATGAACAGTCTCTGAAACAGAGTCCCTGAAGAAGAAATGTGTTACAAAGCAGACAAAGTTATTGGCGCACATCTAGAAGAGCCTCCGACATATCTGCGGGAACAGGGAGGAACCACTGGAGGAGAGTGTAGACACTTAAACTGGACCGAGTCACACGGACAGCGCTGAAGTATCGCGGCCGAGACGCCGAGCAGAACCTTCACCGGGACAGAGTCAGACAGAGTCACTCGAACAGAGTCGAGTCACGTGAACGGCCGCGTCACTCGATCAGGGCCGAGGCAGACGCACAGGAGGCCATTCCAGCTTCGGGGACAGAGTTCAATCACCATGACGACATATCACATCTGTTTATAGGGACATGGAACATGGAACAGACATGGAACTTCGAGCACCACTCACCGCGGCTGAAATCTTCCATGTTATCTTAGATGTCGCGTCCCCCATATTCCTGAACTTTACTGTAGAGCTCACGCAAGTTGTGTAAAATGTGTTGTATAAACAAAAGAATCGACGCGGGTGTTTGGTGCGCCATGATTAAAGAGATCCCATGACATCCAGAAGAATTCTTGTATGTATGCCGTAGGAAGCTGTTAGACGCTAGCACCTTCTTGCCAGGTACGAGTAAGCGATTACTGCCAAGTGTTTCAAAATAATCTCACCTTCCCTTAGCTCATCTAAGTAAGTGCCAAATCCCCATGTTAGCAGGTTAAGTGAGTTCTCGCTCCGGAAGCAACGCTCCATGTCTGACCCGTCAGAGACGATCGGCTGACAACTGACTTAGGTGGAGGGGGTGGGGGGAGGGGGATGGCCGACGAGGAATGGCCGTGCTCTGGCATTGCATGGCACATAAATCCTCTTCTACCAGTTGGCAGACAGTACGTGTCCGCACACTTTCCGTTGAGCTGCAATTCCTCGGTTGGGTCGTGGGATCAGGGTCTATACGGCGAAATATGCGTTATCTGGCTGAAGATGTCGTCGTCGTCCCTCAAAATATTTGATCAGAAATTATGGAAAATCGTCATATCCTATCTCCAAGCTAAAGCTAGAAAATGAGAGAAATTGGTAAGATTTAGAGGCTTACACCTATTCGAAAACGGTGCAGACCAGGTTAGCCAGGAAGGCCCTGGCCAACTCCAAAGAAAGGGCAGTTCCAAGTCAGAAGAGAGACGAGCGCACTTCTCCTCGGGTCGGATAAGGAACATGACCGGGTAGGTGATTGTTGCGTGGCTTGAATTTTCGTAGAATTTTTGTTCATGTTTATCACACAGCGCATATGTGTTGTGAACTCTATGTGCTTATCACCAAAGCAGTGTCATGACTGATGGGTACACACCAAATGTGTGCTACCCATCGCTAATTGTTGTGAAATAGTCTGGCAGAGAAGTGCAGCAATTCGAACGACTCAATAAATTGTATATTTAGCAAAAAAGGTGAAAACATCGCACGAATAAACATTCATCACGTTTTAGCCCGCGGTTTGAACTCATTAATATAACAGTCGATTAGATAGGCCCCTCGTGGGCTGCGGATCTGGTGCAAGTCGGAAGACTGGGTGTGGTCGGATCTACGTGTGGAAGTGGTGTCTGAAATATTTTCGATACGGGAATTAAACCCTGATCCCTCGATCCCGGACTAGTGCTGACCTACTCAGCTGGTCAGGGTGGCTCCACCGACGTTACATGCTTATTCTCACAATTATTTCCGCTGAAATATGTTGATGAAATACACTGTCTCCGGCGAGCACACTTATATAAGCTTCTTGCCACCACGGAATTAATTCGGTTTTATGAAACGAGTAAATCAAAGGTACATCCATTGTACGTTGCAAAAATAACTATTGCATCCGTAGCCTACGCGTGGTGCAACGTAACCCCCATATCTACTGCAACAAGTTGCTCTATATAAAGGTGCCAACGATTGTCGGTGGCAAAGTCACATGACCAGAGTAACCACGCAGCACGCGTTTGGAATCGGCACGTTGTTCTTTAGCATCTGCACAGCTCGGCCAATCAGCAACGTGCGAGAGGGGGCGCCGCCCGAGGTCAGTGTGAAGCCGGCCACTGATTGGCTGGGGATGCGGAGCACGCCGGCGGTGGTGAGTGCCGGTAGGTTGACGGCCGGCGAGGGCGGGGCGAAGGGGGCTGACGCCGGGCACGTGCTGCCCGTGGACACGGAGAGGGTCGGCCGGTCATTGACGAGCAGCAGTGCTGGAAAACGGTCAGACGAGGTCAGACGACGAATTTATCTTGACTACAGGCCATGGTCGTTCAATTTACGCACAAAATTCCATTGCATACCAGTATAGTTTGGCTTAGCAAAACTGGGGACGAAAAGACGAGACAACGAGAAGCTAGTTGCAAGAGAAACATTTTAAAAGATTAAAGTTACAAAGCTTTTCCGTAGAACTTATGCGAGCAGCAAAAGACATCACCACTGAGTCCACAAACGTGAGTCGTGAACTAAAAACATTTGGCGTGACCTGGACCCTTATCTTTTCTAACAGATCGAGATATTTTGGCTTCAAAGCAAGGCCAAACCAAAGGGGATAGAGCAAACAGCTGTTCCTCCCCCCCCCCCTCCCCCAACTCCTGGCACCATTGAACATTTGCACAACGGGTGTTCATGGAAGACTCCCTTCCCACCGTCAGGAATATAACACTTTTCACTTTTGATTTCTCAACATACGTGTTCGGTAATGTTTGCAGTACATAAATTAACCAAACTGTAGTTACAGCAAATGGCACGAGGCCTTAAAACACTCCATTTTATCACGCAAATTCAAGGAAAGGTCACACCGTAGCTTGGATTTCCGCCAAAGCGTTTATCACTGCGATACTTCTGAAAGGAAACTTTTCGTTGGGAAACATTGTCGACCTGGATGCTGGATGCAACGTTGTGTTCACAAAACATATGTACCTATATATATATATATATATATATATATATATATATATATATATATATAATGTGGTCGAGAAACCCACATGTTCACGTTTCGACCCATGCATTTTTCACGAAGTGCACCTTTTGCTGCCTGCGGCCTCTATCACAGGCGTTAATTTCTAATGACGTCACGCATATCCCATGTTAACTTACTTATTTAGGCAGAGTGAGTTATGACCACCATGCTTTAGGTATGCAAATGGCCTAACTGTCGGTGCTCTATAATTAGTTTTTGAAAATTTCGAAAAAAAACCAGATCGACGTGAAATCTCGGCGCACTGTCGCGGAAATCACGATGAAGACCTCACCTGAATGCCTCGTATGCGCCAAGATTGTCCATTTCAGAAATGAAACCTTGGGCTACAGAGTCAGGACTTCAGGACAAATCTAACGTTGTGCCGAAACGTTGGCCGCGCAATCTTGATTAATAATGAATTCAATTGAACTCATTATGATATGTTTCTGGTGCTGCAGTTTCACGCCCAGTCTCATTTATACCTCACAGTCCTCAGAGCACATCATAGTATGCTTTTTGTTTTTAAATCCGCCCTTAAGGAGTCATTACCTAATAGGACAGAACACCCATGTAGAGCTTGGAAAATCTAACGAATATATTTTTGATGCTGGTGGCAAAAAATTAGGTCTTTTGAAGGAATGCTAGATACTTGCAATGGATACTAAATCACACCGTCCCCTCAAGCCCATAATACATAACAGGCAGTTCACAGCATGCGGAGCAGACATTGTGCAACGTTATGAAGCATATCAATGGACACAGCTGCAACAGTGAGAACGGTGCAACTTTAAGATGACAATGGGGATGACACAGCTAAAGCTGAGTATGTTAATAGGATAGACCTACTGAGATGCATGCCTGACCGGTGATGCCATCTTAAGCCTGAGGCGGTGAGTCATCATAGTCTGTGTTTCTATAAACAACATTGTCTCTATTTAGGAAATTCGTCAGTCGAGTCACAGTAACTTCCGGACCGGACTTGGCTTACACATGACAGTTGCTTTTTGCAGCATGACTCGATGTTTTCATTCGTTGGGTTTGTACCTACTCCTTACGTAAAATCTACCTATCATTTTTGCTTTGGAGAAGCGATAATGGCGCAAAATAAGCAATGCACGTCATGTCATCTATGCACGCATGCCAATGACACATAACTGACACCTTACAGCATGCAAAGCAGGCAAACACAGTCGGAGCAGTGAGAGGTGTACAGCGAGGTGTGGCCACCAACCTGCGGATGCTGGCGGCGATCAGCAGCGGCGAGACTCCCCTCGCGCGGCTCTCATCCCGTCCGTCTTACAGTGGAATACTGCTCCTTCATCGTCAGCGCAGAACCCGGCATATTATATATATATATATATATATATATATATATATATATATATATATATATATATATATATATACCTCTACATATATCCACGGATCCAAAGATGTCCACAGATATATCTGCATCACTTGTCCCAGAGGAGAGACCATCACTTGAATCATTCCAGTCTCAGCCACGCAGTTTTTAAGAGGTGGTGGAGCGGCAAACAGAGACTCGCGTTTGTGATGTATAAAACAATAGTAACCAGAAGCGTCATGGTGTACGATAAACCGGGGCCAAAGCATAAGCCAAACAGATGCCCTGTTTTCTTCCCCTGTCCAAAGTATACCGTGAGACTTGATCGTTGTCCTTCAAATCTCTTGGAGATCCATCTTCGGAATTTGGTTCGTCCCAACTAGTGTTTGGACCATTGTTGTGAGTTTGTAATATGACTAAAATGTCTGCGTGCTTTGAGTTCAGAGTACTTATGCTGGCAATAATACAACTTAATTATGCCAGGATGTGCTGGTTAAGCGACGTAATTAAGCAAACATTGGTCTTATCATCAATGGTCATGTCACTGCATATTGTCGATGCTGTAAATCACTGGCATATTGTCGATGCTGTAAATCACTGGCATATTGTCGATGCTGTTAATCACTGGCATATTGACAACGCTGAGTATTGGCCATATAACCAATGATTACTTGACAACACCGTTTGACGAGTACTTCCTGCTATATCGAAGGTCGATCTGCCAGGTACGTAACTCTGAACTCACAATGTCGAAAAACCACGAGCTCAAGGCCTTTCTGTTTTACATCGTCTATGAATTCCGCGGGATTAGGGAGGATCTAGCCATGGTCAGAGAAGGGCGTAACATTCTTCAGGCGGCCTGGCGCACCACAAAAACGGCGAACGCAGGCACAAGGACGAGAGCGGGGTCGGAGGCGGACGAGGACAGATACGAGGAAATGGACCCGGACTGTGGCAGGAGCGTGTGCAGAGGCATGCCGGGGAGGACGCAGTGACAAAGCCATCGGGAGCTGGGAAGAAGTCGAAAGATCTTGTACAGGCCTCTATGCCAAGCAGCGCCCGAAATCTTTTGGAATGTGTTGGTAGAGCAATCTTGCACAACGGTAAAGAGGGGCAACCCAGCCTTGAATTTCATTAAAAAAACAAAAGGCTTTATCAGGCCTCTTAGATCAGTCTCAGATCAGCCTCAGAGATCAGTCTCAAGTCTGACTTAATCGTTCACAAGGGAACAGATCAGTTGTTTGAATGAAACATATTTGGACAGTGTGTGCGGGGCGTACTGACCCCATCACAGACTGCCAGTCCATCCCCACTGGCAGATCTTCCCCGGATTCTCCAGTCCCAACGGACCATGCTTGGAGCTTCCGCACGCCTTAAAGCGCACCACGCGCCACCACTCGCCCTGGTAACGGTGTGCGGAGAAGAGCCTCCCCGCTCCTGCGCTCATGGTGCGAGTCAGGAGGACCTGATCCTGGTCACTCCACGTGGTCAGTGGGCAAGCACGCATTGTGCCGGACCGTCGACATTGCGACGAAAACCAGGTGATACAGATCAAAACAGAAATGGACAGCTGTCCATCAGGCACAGGCGAACAGAACAAAACAGAAATGGACAGCGGTCCATTAAACACAGGTGAACAAAACACATCAGAAATGGACAGCTGTCCATCAGACACAGGTGAACAAAATAGAACAGGAATGGACATCTGTACATCAGGCATGGTGTTCATCGTTAACACAACGGCTGGGTCACGGTTGGTCAACTGTGGCTACAGTGCGGGCCAAGGTCTGAAGCGAGGGGGTGGAGGGTGGGGTGGTGGACGTGCACCTCCCCACGGCGTGTGCTGTAGTGGCGGGCTGCACCTCCCCACAGCGTGCGCTGTAGGGGCAGGCTGCACCTCCCCACGGCGTGTGCTGTAGTGGCGGGCTGCACCTCCCCACAGCGCGTGCTGTAGGGGCGGGCTGCACCACCCCACGGCGCGTGCTGTAGTGGCGGGCTGCACCTCCCCACAGCGTGCGCTGTAGGGGCAGGCTGTACCACCCCACGGCGTGTGCTGTAGTGGCGGGCTGCACCTCCCCACGGCGCGTGCTGTAGGGGCGGGCTGCACCTCCCCACAACGTGCGCTTGTATGGGCAGGCTGCACCTCCCCACGGCGTGTGCTGTAGGGGCAGGCTGCACCTCCCCACGGCGTGTGCCGTGGGAGCGAACGTGCACCACACAAAACGGTACGGTGCATTCAGCGCACCTTGAGCGCAGAATACACAACAGACATCGCAACAGACATCAAAATGTCAGCTATATTCAGAGCACTCAACAGACCCTGTGCCATGCAACACGGAGCGTGGTAAGCGATGCCAAGACCTGGCCATGGCACACGCAATCCTGCTGCA